CTTCTTACATTTTGGGAATAAGGATAGTAAGAGAAAGAAGTAAGAGACTAATTGGACTTAGTCAGAATACTTACTTAGAGAAGGTACTAAAACGTTTTAGTATGGAAAACTCAAAGAAGGGAGAACTACCGATACAAGGAAATGCCAAGTTGAGTAAGACTCAAAGTCCGAGTACCGAAGCTGAGATAGCAGAAATGAGCCGAGTACCATACGCTTCCGCAGTTGGCTCAATCATGTACGCTATGACTTGTACTCGCCCTGATGTAGCCTTCGCTTTGAGCATGGTTAGCAGATATCAAGGGAACCCTGGCAAAGCACATTGGATTGCGGTGAAGAACATCCTTAAGTACCTTCGGAGGACGAAAGAATGGTTCTTAGTCCTTGGAGGGAGTGATGACTTGAAGGTGCGAGGGTATAGTGACGCCAGCTTTCAGACCGACAGGGACAACTATCGTTCGCAGTCGGGCTGGGTCTTTACCCTAAATGGAGGAGCAGTGACATGGAAAAGTTCCAAGCAGGAAACCGTAGCTGATTCAACGTGCGAATCAGAGTACATCGCAGCGAGCGAAGCGTCGAAGGAGGCAATATGGCTAAAGAACTTCATTGGTGATCTTGGAGTTGTGCCGGCCATAAAGGAGCCCATGGAGATTTTCTGTGATAACGAAGGTGCGGTTGCCTTGACCAAGGAACCGAGGGATCATGGTAGATCTCGACATATCGACAGAAAATATCACTTCATTAGACATCGTGTAGAAGAAGGACAACTCGTAGTGAAGAGGATATCATCAGAAGATAACCCAGCAGATCCGCTTACGAAGGGACTGAGTAGGGTTAAGCACTTGCAGCATGCTAGGAGTATTGGGCTGAAGGATGATATTAGTATAGATTAGATAGTATTAGAAACGTATAATAGATAAATGTAATTAACATTTGATGATTAAATAAAGGAGTTTTATTTATGAGTAAAGTTACTGTCACATGTTAATTGTTTAACTATTGTTTCACTTTGCATGTTTTGACTTCCAGAATAATTGAGTTTATTAGGAATAATCGAATTATTCAAATGGTCCACAATCGTTCATATGTTGGGAGTAGATATGAATGAAGATTGTCATGAATTGGTGTGTAGAATGTCTAAATGGTGTTAGACATAGCAAGGGTTGCTGCAACGTTCATGAGTGCTTATGAACTGGTTTTGAGCATTGGAATAAACCCGCGCTTGCTGGAATCACTTTATGGAATACGATATAAAAGGTGATCGCAAGACGATAATATCATATAGTCTTAAAACCTAGATATATGGTTTATTATTTGTTAATTGATTGTACATTGATAATGCGAAAACGCATCAGTAACTTGGTGTTATAAAACGCATTGTTGTGTATAGTTGGTTAATGAATAAGTAAATGCATATAAGTCGAAGTTTATCTGTAAATTTTATCCTAAGAGGGTAGAAGAGATATCTTGGCCACTCGATGATTTGATTTGACTTATGTGCCGGGCCCGGTCAGAACTGAATTGATGTGTTTGATTAAGTTCTATGTCAAATAAATCGGAGATCGAGAAATCAAATGCTTGACTAACCATTCCATAGGATTGTCAGCATGATATCTAACAGAGGACTGTAAGATCCCTTATCTAAAGGACAAGATTGATTAGATCAAAGTTGACAGCGTCTTTGAGAGCTACGATTGCAAACCGAATTGTACTTGTATAATTACTAGACTTATCCAAGTGGGAGACTGTTGGAATAGTGTCTAAGGCTGCAACTATATTGGGCAAGTATTTGATCCGGTTGTGCATGGTCCTTTTGGGTTGCCTTCACCATAGCAACTTGATGGATGATTTGTTAAGAGAGAGTAAATATTATAAGGAATAATATATGGTTATTTGATTAATATAAGTCATAGATTAATTGGAATTAATTTGCTGACTTAAAGAGATTAATTAAATAAGAGGGTATAAACTGTCAATTGTTTGATAGTTACACTTTAGACTATAAATCCTTATCCTAGATAGGATGGACGATTTCTAGGGCTTGGATAAGCCAAAATCGTCCATAGGGTTATCTATGGAATGGATTTGGATAGCCTTAAGAGAAGATTATCCAATTAGGGTTTAGGTTGTAACCCTTAAGGAGTCTACAAGTATAAATAGACCATAGGGGTGAGGGAATTCGACACACGATCTAAACTAGAGATACTCTGGCCAAATTCCTCCCCTCTCCTCTCTCCTAAATCATCTTGCTTACTATTGGTGTTTGTAAGCCATTAGAGGAGTGACATTTGTGACTCTAGAAGCTCCAAGACAACAAGATCAACAAGGAACTCAAAGGTATGATTCTAGATCTGTTTCAATGTTGTTATTTAACCTAATTAGCCATTAGAAGTCTTGGATTCAAAGCATGTTTAATTAGAAAGCCTAGATCCAAGCATTAGGGTTTTGCATGTGCACATAGGAAAGTTCTTATGGCTAAAACCCATCATTTCCTTCATTCTCCAAGCTTCAAATCACACAAATGGCAAGAAAAAGCTTAAGAACACTCAAGGGCTGATTAGGGTTTCGAGAGTAGGATGTGGAGGTGATGGAGGCTGGGTGGAGGCCTAATATGATGCTTAAATAAGGTGGAAACCCTAAAGATTAGGGTTTCCTCCTGATGGACCTACTCATCGAGTCAAGACTCTCGACTCGTCTAGTAGACCACTTAAAATCCGCATCCAAACTGACATCTACTCGACGAGTTAGGGCTACCAACTCGTCGAGTAGCTCTTACAAAATAAATACTTAAATAAATTAAATGCGTACCATGAATAGGACGTTACAAAAGACATGAAGTTAGTAATTTAAGTTTTTTTATTTTTATTTATTTTATGTTTTTTTATGTGACACTTCATTTATGTGGACAGTGTAGGATCTTGAAAAGGCTGAATTCTGAAAAGGTATCAAGTATGTTCTTCTTTTGTTCTTCATTCGATTCTATATTTCTCCATAACTGATAATTGTGTCCATTACTGATTATCTATGATTGTGAATTTATGTCTTGTGATAATCTGATAATCAATGATAAATTTTGTTATTTTCTGCACAAAAGAAGGAATGAATCTGTTTATTGAATCAGGTTTGGATTTTGGAACAATTTTGGTTGGAAGTTGCCAAAGGACCCCAAAATTTTGGTTCGCTTAGATTATCCAAACTGGTTGAGCCGCCCCTTATATATATATATATATATATATATATATATATATATATATAATATATATATATATATATATATATATATATATATATATATATATATGTAAGTTATATTGAGAACACGTAAAACATTAAAATATGTTAATCTCCTTAATTTATGCAATATTAAATTAGGGTATTTTTTACTTATGCAATATTAAATCAGGGTATCTATTACTTTTAATTAGACTAATAACACATATCCCTATTAATCGTACCTACCTTCTTCATCTCCAAAATATCCGATTGAGTTCCTTCATCCGTCTTATTCCCTTCACCTTTCATTAGTTATAGTACAGTTCCAAGTTTGGGTTTTTTTTATTCGCCGATGATTTGCAAGAATCTTTAAGTTGGAATTGGGGGATCCTTCTTCATCAGTTTCTTTAACATTACCTATCCATAATCACGTTGTTTTCGTGATTCGATGATATGCAACTAATGTGAAGCTGGAATATTAGGATTCTTTAAGATTAATTGCGTCTTATCGCAAAAGATCGTCGATATAAAAGCTTATGGAAGTCGAATTTGAAGGAGGGTATGCAGTCGGGGATCGCACAAGAGGTAAGTTCCTTTTACGTTTACTGTTTTCCTTTTCTTTTTAAACCATATAATTCGATTTTGTATACTTTCTATACAATTTTTTACATGATTTTGCAATGTATACTTTCGATTTTGTCAAACGGTTCATGGAAGATTTATGACTTATTTTCTCATCTATATGTTCAATGTTAGTTTTTTTAATCATAAAAATCGATTGGCAAAAGCTTGAATGATGTTATTCGCATCACTATGTTGTTAAATTCATCTACAACTCATCGATTGTGATGAGTTTGCCATGTAGATGGTTTGATTAGGTAAATACTGCCATGGGTCTTATTAGCCCTTATCTCCCACTTATGTGTTACCTGCTAAAGTGTTTGCATTATATTTATTAACCATAGATTCCATTACATGTATGTTATTTATGTTTTATTAAGATGTTTCGGTTTGCATTTTGTTAATTTGTGTAGTTAACAGTAAGATTAGATTTATGTCTTTGTTATCATGTATTATCTTATTTCCCCTAATTTCATGCTTATGTTTTACATCTTAAATTGTTTTCCCTACATTTATTCACCATATATTCCATATAAATGTATGTTATTTCTATTTTATTCATATGTGTCAGTTTGCATTTTGTTTATGAGGGTAGTTACCAGTAAGATTAGACTTATAATTTTGTTATCATGCATGAACTACAATAGGGGCATGAAAAGCAAGCGTATTCATAACAGATACTCACTAATGAAATACAAGAATTATCCATCAAACCCAATAATAATATATATCAATGTACATACATTTGATTCTATTAGGATTAACCCTTTACCAACCATTGCTAAAGCTGGAGTTCGAACTCAAAGGTTAAAATCCATACTTGTTTCAACTGTCAAACCAATTCAGAAAAAAGGTAGTTTTTTTATTATTTTTTGAATTAGGTATTACACTAAAAAGCATACTTTTCATTATTTTTTATTATGCCTCAGTATCAATACAAGGTCAACATTCCGGAGATAGTGTTTCTGTTAAAGTGCTTCATGAAAATCGTTCAAAGAAAAAATTTGATCCACATTCCAATTCCCATTCACGTGTGCATGGTTATACAAAATTATGTAGCTCATTAACACTGTCTTTTTTAAATTGCTAGTATAATTCATTCATCTTATTTACTGTTGTTTGGCTATTGTATTGTATTTTCCACCAAAAATTACACAGTTATTAGAAAAATGGTGTTTACGCCTAAAGAGAAACAACCGCCATCACTTGTAACAACCAAAGTTGTACAAAATCAGGAAAAGAAAGCTAGAGCAGATGTGGCCAGCCCTCAAGCAATTAAGACAAAAGTTAAAGTCAAGAAACTAGAGAACATAAAATCAAAGAAGGGAGTTCATGTGGGTATTCCAACACAACCAAGGCGAATACATATTTGTACGTCACCAAAAATATTATTCCCCACAATGCACAGTATGACGAATGGACAGAAGGAGTATTTATCATCGATTGGATTTGCTCCCCTTTTAAATATAAAAGTAGATGGGGTCGGCATCACGAATTGGGTAGTATGCGGTCAAAAACTTTGACCCTGAACGCATGGTATTGAATGTCGAGCAGGGTGAGATACCAATCACTAGGTAATTGATACATGACATGTTGGGTCTCCCTATGGGAATCATCAATATTAATTCACTAAAGGTCACTCCCGCTAAAGACAAAACTGTTGATTTGTGTTCTGTACAGTTCAAGTCAGAAAATGATATTAGGCCTAAAGGCGTACAAAGGGCGATTAAGAGATTAAAAGATGTTGGGTTATTGTTTAAAGTAAATTTTTTGGTTCTTATTTGTAACACCCTTGGACAATCCAAGAGCATGGGCACATGTGATGTATCAATGCTTTCAAGGGTTTTAGAGGATTTAGATTTAAGCGACATAGATTGGTGTTCATACGTGTTAGAGTGTTTGAAAAATACAAAACATGCATGGAATTCTATAAGTGATACATCTTACTATGTTGGTCCTATTGTCCTATTGATGGTACCTATCCTACATCCTAACTTACAACATTAATTCTACTTATTTATTATTGAATTGGTCACTGATGATTATAATACTACATCAGTAATGACTTATTGACTACTCCTTGATCACTAATGATTTAATCATCTTTTTTTTAAACATATAAGCTTATATACCTGGAGCATGTTTCATGTGATGCGGTTACGATCGATCGTGGAAGACCTGTTATATGTTTCTGGGATGTGGAAACCATATGCTTACATGAGGAGTATGAAATCAGAAATGGTGGAATTGGTTCTGGTGAACTTCAGGATCCTTACATACCACGGGATGACAATGCCGAAAATGTTAACTCGGTAAATGGATTAGTAGATGTAACAAAATTTTCACATCATTTTTTCATATTTATCACATACTACTAATCATTCATAATGTTTTCAGGAATACCTTTCCACCATTGAAAGTACGTTAAACAAGCTAGTTGAGGATAATCATATGTTGGCCTCAAAACTTGTAGAGGCAATCGAAAGGAATCCTCTTGTTTGTCATTTCAACGAATAGAAAGCCAAGATCAGAATCTTCCTTAATGAAGCATCCACGAAATATGGAGGTGGCAATTCTACTGATGCAGGTAGCATTGGACCTTTATCCTAATGGTGGCCAGACAACGCAGAACAGATTAACAGGCAACATTAGACCTTTATCCCAATGGTGGTCAACATATATTCTTTAATGATTTCAATACAAGTACGAATACACAACAATGAAATTCAAATCAAATAAATTGTATACTGAAACAATAAAATTTATAGATACCCCAGTTCCATCACAACTACATTAAATCAATTGTGATTACAAACATATTCAAATATGTTTCTGATAGGTTTAGAGCATTCTAACACTCCTATGGTGTACATGCAACCCTATTAACCTTGAATCTATGTTTTCTCTATATGCATGCAAATTTCTTTCTCAAGGTTATTTCCTAACTAGCATGGCATGGGGAATATATAAAACATAAAAAACTAGTAGAAATACATACCTTGTTGTTGCTTGGATTCGTTCAAGACTTTGTGAGCCTAGCACCCCAAATGTTGTGCCTCAAATGCTTCACACAACACCACAAAACCTGGAATAACTTGAGAGAATACTTCTACACTAAAAAATCGGTTGTGCCCTCACAAGAACTCTAGGTCCGATTTTGCTAGCCAAAGGGTTCCTTTTATAATGTTGTCACAATTAGGGTTTTTACATGAATACTCTTAATTGTCAGTACCCTTCATTTCTCATGACCCATGGGTTTGTAACTCCCATGGACTATCCATGGAGCTCCAAATGGTTATAACCAAACCCATAAACCATGGATCATTAATCCACCATAAAAGAATTGATGATTGTCATAATCAACCCTATATATTTAATCAGTCTCACTTTGATCACCAAATTAATACTAGATTAATACTTGATCAATACTAATTAAATAATACTCACTACTAGAAAACTGACCTTTAATGACGCGTAAACAATGACACTCACCGATAGAGGGCGCGCATTTGTGGGTGCCCTAAAAATTAGTGTCAGTTTTGCAAAATTTGAAGGATAGAAGACACGCATTTGTGCGTGCCCTAAAATTAGTGTTAGAAAAGAAAAAAAAAAGGAAATGCGGAGGGCGCCTTTTATAAAATGTGTGTCATGTAAGTATGTCGCTTTATAAATTTTTAATGAAACACGCATTTTAGGCGGGAAATGATCGATCGACAAAAATCCCCAAAATTTTGGAGGACCCGCTCATTCATTCCTCTCCACTTGCCGATGACCTTCATTTTCTCCCCTCCTTCTCTCTGTAAAACCTAGCAGCCGCCACCACCAGAAACATGGTTTTATGTTGGCTTCGTTCTATGTTGTAAGAACGAGAGTCTGGTCCTTCATTAATAGCTAAAGGGGGAAAATCCCCCAAAATTTTGAAGTACCCCGTTCACTCCTCTTCACCTCTACCCTACTCCATCTACAACGACTCCCCACGTTTACAAACCCTATAATTCAAAACGATTTTCCATTCCTCACGATTGCTTTCGAGTCAACGACCTGATCAGCCTCATCGGCAACCTCGGTCTCACCTCACCTCGTCAGCGAGCTGAGGCTCACCTCTACACACATGCGACTACAACTCTTCAAATCACCCTAAGCCTTACCCTTTCTCTCTATTCAGGAGCCAGTAATGGCGGCAACGAAGATCAACAATGAAGACCAACTGGTTCGATTTCTCCCTAAAAATGGTGCTTCTACTAAATCCGAGTTTACTCTTCACTCTCTGAGTTTGTTTTCTCCCTAATTGATGCATCCACCTTCTCATCTCGCTCCCTCTACCAGGTTTTCTCTCATCTCTCTCCTTTATAGATCAAGTTTGTCGGAGATGTGAAGGGAGTAACCGAAGGAAACCCTAAAACTGGTATAAATCCAACTTCACTCTTCATTCTCTGATTTTTTTTCCATTCCATTACCTTTATGAGACTATCTTTCATTTCATTTCAATCTGTTTATTCCTTATTTAGAATCTGTGATTGTTCTTTGTTTGAAGATACCTTCCTTTTTCTTAGCTCTTTTGATTTGATTGTTTGCAATTTCAATCAATTGTTTCAATCTCTAAATGCTAACTTTCTAAAAAAATATATTTTCTTGAACTAATGATGTAGAAGCTAAGCAGAACAGTATAGTCAAAAGTTCTGGAAACATATTTAAAACGATATGATGACCTTTTATTTTGAAGATACCTAAGTTCTTTCATGCATTCCACACAGTTCACAACTTGTTTTTATACAGGAACCTTGATTTTATAAGAAATAGTATCTTTATTGGAGTTAATCGCAAGTGGGTCTGGGGGGCAAACAAAAGGTCCCATACTGGCTCTGATGAAGAGGAGGGAACCCGAGACCCAAATGTTGCTCCCGCTGATTTTACTAGTTGGGAAGCTAAGGTCTGGGAGGCAAAATCTAAAGCTACTTACCACTTGTAATGTTGTTGCACAAAATTACAAGAATACCCTACTGAATTAAAATGGACATGGCCATGACCAGGAACATTGTGTAGAGTGAGGGTCTTAAGGTAAAATTCACTATGGTGATGATTTTTTACCAGAAATTCCCCTGGACATGGTCAAGCTTTCCTTTCAACCTTCCTTCTATATATACAGAAAAAAATCATTTAACATGTTGAATACTGTAGAACTTGTGAAATATAAGTTATTAATTAATCATGAATCACTGCTAACACCAACTTTAATATCAGTTTCAATTCCTATGATTAAAATGAGATACATTTTATTTATACTTCAGTTTCTCATGATTAACATTCAATTGCATTTGATCACAGATATTCTTTTAAGATTCAAGGATAGTCATGGTGGCTTCATGTGGTGTGATGGTGTTGGCAAAATCAACAGGTGAAGGTACATTTAGTGTGCTATAAGTCTTTTTTTTTCTTTTATTTATGTTTGAAACTTAGAATCAATTTGGTTTGAATATTCATGTTAGCTTTTACAAATATGTTGATGAGGTAAGTTTTATTTTTTAAACCCCTATATTAACCATCACAATAATTGTTGTAATATGCTTATCATGTGTTTTGGATTTTGGATTATCTTATAGGCAGCATATGAGCGTATAAAGGCTAGTGTGGAGCCAAATCTTAAACAATATAAACTAATGGTGTTGTCTTATTAGTTTCTTAGCTATTTCTCTGTTTTTTTAAATTTTATTTAACATTTTAATTTTAGGTTGTGAAGGTGGCAGATTTTGGGGTTGCCCGGTTTCTGAGTCAAGGGGAGTTATGACAGCAAAGATTGGAACATACAATATTTGAAGATATTTCCTTTTTCACTGATAAACCCTAACTAATTTGTGAATCATCCTTTAAACTCTAAATTTACCATGATGATTTATTGTCGTGGTTTGCAGGTTATAAATCATCAAAAATATGATGAAAAGGCGGATGTTTTCAGTTTTGCGATTGTTTTATGGGAGCTTGTGACAGCTAAGGTAATAATTAAATACACAATTTTACTTATTATCATACATATATAGTTAAGAATGATCTGAATATGAGGTTGTAGGTTCCTTATGAGAAGATGACACCATTGTAAGCAGCCTTGGGAGTAAGACAGGTTAGCATTTCCATTTGATTAGCATTTGGATTTGGATATATCATATATGAGAGAGAATGCATAACATGAGAATGTGCATGAATATAAATATTGCAGGGCTCCATTAGAAGAGGATGCTAAGACGCTCTTCTCACCATCATTCATCTCCAAAAGATGGGGTTAGGAGTGATAGAGACAAACAAAGGGGTACCCGTGAAACAAGAGACAAAGATAGGGATAAAGATAGGAGCAGGGAGGATAGAAATGGAAAGGGTAGAGATAAAGATAGAGAAAGAGAAAGAGACAGAGGTGGTGATAGGGATAGGGAGAGGGACAGAGTGAGGGTAAAAAGTAAACATGGACGTGAACCTAAGAAAGAAAGGGAAGATAGAGATCAAGAGAAAGAGAAAGAACATGAAAGACCACATCGAAGTGGAAGCAAGATCCGAAAGACATGAGAGTGTAAGGGATAGGGAAAAGAGCCATGATAGAGAGGTTAAAGATAAAGAAAGAGAAAGAAAAAGAAAAAGAAAAAGAAAAAGAAAAAGAAAAAGAAAGGGAAATTAGAGAACCTGATCGTGATCGTGAAAGAAGGTATTTTTTTATGTTCTTGTTCTCTCTTTACTTTCTGCTTGTATTGATAGTATGTGCTTTATGCTTTGTGGCAAGTATCTCTCTTTACTTTGACATGAATAATTATTAATACACCAATAACTTGTTTAAACAACCAGAAGAGTGTATGACAATAGAGGCAGCGTGAAATGTTCAGATACCAGTAATGGCCCACCATATTCCGGGTAACAGTTGTTTTCCCTGGGCCAATAGAGACATCAAATGCACCTGCTACAAGCACAACATCCAAGGAGGTTAGTTTCACATCATGTTCCATCACTTGCTGCTAAAATAATTCCTGGTATTTGTTATAAAGGGAAAAACTCCAACAAACTATGCCCATTGTTTCATATTAGTTCCTTATGGGTTGGCAACAATAGGTTTACAGGTTAAGTCAACTTTAAAATGTTGACTCTTCTATAGCCACAAAAATACTTGTTCAATGACCTAATGTGGACAAAAGAAAGTTCCTGACTAATCTTGGACAATAGGTATAGTTTGTTGGAGTTTTTCCGACTTTACCCCTATTATAAATTCAATGGCATGTTGATTATTTTGTATCGTAGATAGATAAAATCTGATGAATACTAGGATATTTGTGTCTAGGATTGAACTGCACATGCACTCTTCTGGTAGAATTTACTAGAATCATATGTACAATATATAACAGTCTCCCATTTGGTAATGAATTGTTGCTTCCAAAAAAAAACTATCATAACATGTCAAAATCAATTGCTAAAGCAACCATGTGTAAGTTTTACTTGCAAACACAGTTTATTAGACCACAAGAGTAAGCTTCAAATTGATCATAAATTTAAGTAATATATAGCAGTCTCCCATTTGACTTTTTTTTAGATTCTTTATGATTTGTATTTAGTTTAATCTTCTATCTAAACCAAATTATCCTTGAAAGGAGTGATTAATGATCATCATTTTTGGCGCATCTTGTGAAATTGTTCATAGCTGGCTGTTAATGTTCATGCTTGTTTTCATTTATGCATGTAACAATCTTGTTGAAAGGACTTATGAATCAGATGTTAATGGTAACAAGTTTAACACTCGAGTCCATACGATTAAATGTTAATGGTAACAAGTTTAACACAAGTGTCTTTGTTATACATACATATTAAATGCAATGGATTGTATTTTTTGTATATGGTATTTTATTTCTGTTATGAGAGATTAAATGCAAATTTAATTTATAAATTAATAAATATATAAATATATATATATATATATATATATTTAAAAAAATTAAAATTATGATACGCAAAAATGTGTATCTTCTTCATTTATTAAATGGCCTTTCTTGACTGGGGCTTCCTTGATACACATTGTGTGTCATAAACACGCGCATCGTAAGGTTACGACACGCAAATGCGTGTCGTCTTCCTTTATGACAGGGCCTTCCTTGATACGCATTGCGTGTCATAACCGCGCGTCGTAAATGTGTGTCATAAATGCGCGTCGTCTATAGACGACGCGCAAAAACGCTTCGTCTCTCTTTATGACAGGGCCTTCCTTGATGTGCATTTGCGCGTCGTCTGAGCGTTTTACGACGCACAATGAGCGTCGTAAAAGGCTTTTTTTCTAGTAGTGACTATTATTAATATATTAGAACTTATAATATATTAATAATCACAAGTGTACTTTCTCTCTTTTTGTTTATCCAAGTATTGCAATGTCATGCAACCCAAATGGACCATGCGTAGTCGGATCAAGTACATACCAAATAAAGTTATGAACTTAGACACTATATCCAACAGTTTCAACATAAACCCACATAATTCCATAAACAATAATTGTTTTCAAAGATGATTGAAACAATTATAGAATGGGACTTGGACAATGTTCTTTTGGAGTTTTCATTATATCATTTGTGATTACAAATGATACCCCAGTTCCATCACAATTACAATAAATCATTTGTGATTAGAAACCAATTCAAAATTGTTTCAACGTAAAACCACAAAAATTCCTTAAATTAAACAATGATTCACATACAACCAATACTATGCAACCTAACGGACTAAAAAGTCTAAATTTGAAATACACAAAACTATTTTGCCTAGTAAAAAGTTGCAAACATTATTGATTGTCACCTCAAATATTATTCAATGATTTCAATACAAATACAAATAGACACCAATTGAATTCAAATCAATTATATTCAATCATGAATGAAAACAACAACATTTATAGATACCCCAATTCCATCACAACTACATAAATCATTTGTGATTACAAACCTATTCAAATATGTTTCAACGTAAAACTACATAATTCCATAAATTAATCAATGATTCACCTATAACCAAGATTACACAACTTAAAGGAATAACAAGTCTATATTTGTCACTGGTAAATTATATATGTACATACAAAACATTATAATCATCAGTGAATAAGGGTCTACATGTTAATCAACATATTCAGATATAAATCAACATAAGACCACAAATTTTGGAATAAATACCTCTATATTTGTCACATGTTAATTAGCTACGAACATACACAACATCATAATCATCACTGAATTTAATTATTTTCCGTATCACACCATACTCATTCATTATAGATTATCATATTGTAGCATTTAATACCCATACAACATCTAACTCAATCACGATTACTTTTACCGTTGATATAAATTTAGTTCACTTCTATATCATTCATCAGTATAAATCAATTCAATCGAATTGAACAGTTTTACTTTGTTTTAGCAGAAACTAACACTTTTTTTTGTTTCACAGTATGATTACAGTCAAATAATAATTTATGAAATCAAACACACGTACCTTCACCTTCATCACCAATATCGATCAGTGAATTGAAGTAACTTTCATCGCCATAAATATCCCCACAACCGATGTGCTTCATCGCAACCGAATTCAATCAACGTATCATAATCTGATTCTAGACGATGACAACAATATTGCTGTAATATTTTGCAAATTTCGATTTCACGTCTAATGTCGACGATATGGACTGTAGCAATAACCAATACGGTTTCAATAAGTTTTATCCAATTAACGTTCTTCATCGTTCTGACTTCAATCCTGGAAAACGTCCGTTACGTGTTTATTTAATACGTTTAGGTTATTTTATGTTGCCTAATTACTATTTACGTAACTATATACTTTCTTATTTTTGACCCTTATGAAATGATTGGTCTATATTTGTTCTCACGTTTCTCAAGTGTGCTCAATATAACTTATCCTTATAAGGCTATTTTCTTTAATATCAACCTACATTGTGATTAGCTTAATTAATAGTTATTAAACATTTAGACAAATAAAAATCAATTTAACTATAACATGATATTCTTACCTTTTAACTAAAATACTATGATTTAAGCTTTTACATATAAATATTCATTTAAACTCAAATTGTATCTAGATTATACTATTAATTTATTAAATAGTTGGTTAAGATATGATATTATTGTTGAACTATAATAATATTAAAATGAACAGCTCAATAATAATACGTTCCTATCTATTAATTTAAAATAATGAGAGGCAATCACGGCATTTTAGAAGAAGTCACAATGAGTCTCCAGTCAACTCTTTGACCGCCCATAATTTTATGTCCCTTTCACTTTGCTAATTTTCTACGCCTTTCGTTTTTGAAGTCCATCTGCTTCTTCTTCTTAAGTAGCTGGTAGTGGTCTCCATCTGTCTACTTACTCACTTGTACACTTTTAATCCTTACTCTTTTATCCATATTACACAACCACCCTCCATTTTCATGCCTACTTCATATATTATGTCAAAAGAACCTTTATAATTCTAAAATTATGTCAAAAGATCATTCGTAACATAAACTGTGTATTTATAAGAGAAATACTACAAATAGCTAGTATTATTTCCTTTTGACAATTACATAAATTGTCAAACCATCTTTAAAAAAGAACATATAACAACAACAATAAAAACATTAAGTCGTATATACATGGAAAAAATAGGGTAAATTAATGGACAACCCGAGTTCCTAACCATACGATGAGAGGACTCTTTCTGTAAAACACCTCCGACACTATTATCTATATAATAATAATAACAATAATAATAATAATAATAATAATAATAACAACAACAACGTTGTAATTGTGACCATATCCATAGTGATCCTTTCGTAAGATCTCTCCATACATGAATGTCACCATGGGATTAATAATACAATGTTGTTTGACCAAATAAAAAAGTTGGTAAACACAATAAAAGAAAGATAACTAACAATAGATATAAACATAATTAATAAAGAGACCCTTAGCTCTTTAAATCTCTATGCAATACATTAATGTATTAACATTTCTTTATTAAGTGGCATTAAAACAAAGGTTAACCGGTGAATATATGTATAATCTTAGAAAAATGATTTGGAATGAACACATGCATGATCTTTTTCAATTAAAAGGAAAGAAGAATAACACAAATCAAACATATACTCACAAAATAAATCATATAATCCTTATATGAGAACATAAAACCAACTTAAGCGTAAGAAATTTGCTTGATTGTCATATTTGAGTGGTTTTATATATATAACAAATGGTTAGAACCTTTACTATTATTCATTCAGTTGCTTTCGTAGACCCATTAAGTCATTAGCATAATGATATAACTTGTGAGTAGAAAAGGGACCATTATGCCAATTTCATTATTATGTTGGGGTGATTGTGAGATAAATAAACTTCCAGGGCTCTAAATGAAAATCTATTCTACTTTAATATGGACGGCAAAATTCTACAAAGTGACAAGCACTTCCTCACGAACGATAACACTTCAACAACTCCCTCTCACTTCCCAAAAGAGACAGACTTAAACCGGTCTCCTTAAACCGGGTTATGTCAATTCCAAACATGAGTGGAGTACAAATTTAAACTTTTGTAATTTATAAAGTGCAAGTGTATAATGACTTATATTTTTCAGTTTTCAGCTCATATCCCCATCATATAACAGTTTAAATAAATTCATCCTAAAAAGCGAATCAAATATAACTAGTTTCATTTCAACTTAAATTGTGTTTGCTTCAATTATTTGATTTTATTTGTGGGACCGGTTTTCATCTACCCCTAAATCTAAGTTATCTTGAAAACAAATTGAAGAAAGTTACATAGATATAAACAATTAAGCATAGTCTTATATTTATAAATCATTGAAAAAGACTTGTTTTTGCTAAGGATATAATTACGTTGCTAATGATACAACTAAATGATACATCAAATCACTAGAGTTGCACTAATAAAAGCTAAGTGTAGTAGTCTAACTAGTGACACTCGTAACTCCTACAAATCTTGCTCATTTTTAATGCACAATGTACAACATTTGATGCATAATGTACAACATTCGTCGCACAATGTACAAGTCTTTCAATCGATCAAACCAAACTTGCTTGATCGGAGCTATCTTCTTCATAATAAGGAGATGATTTCACATCTTTATTCATGGTAGCTTTTAGTTTGCCATCGGCTGCAGCCTCTTGAAGTAAGTTGACCACGGTTCGCATCGAGGGTCGGTTCATTGGAAGTTGGCTAATACATAACAAACCGATATCAAGAACCCGACATATTTGGTCCTTGGACTCATACTCTAGCTCAGGGTCAATCACGTGGTCATAACCCTTTTGGTTAACCGTTGTGTGCACCCATGTGGCTAGGTCTCGCTCGCCAAACGCCTGGTCAATTGGTTTTCTTCCGGTCACGAGTTCAAGAATCACCACTCCAAAGCTGTATATGTCGCTCTTTTCAGTCACGCGAAGCGTATATGCATATTCTGAAACAGATTTATGAGAAAAGCTTAGTAAATTTTACAAAACGATTACGAAAAACTAGTGGCAGAGTCTAGGAGGGACAAATACATGGTCAAACGTTTAATCTTCTGTTCGAAATTCAACATAAATTATTGAGTTTAGAAACAAATTGTAATAATTGTCATATTGACATGTGTCTATACATCAAATACAATACAATATGTTATGTCATATATTGTCACGATTGATACACAAACACTGGACATGACAATAGATGACAACTTTATACTTTGTTTGACATGTAAATTATTTTGGACTAGAACTGATTTTCTCTCATTCAAACATGTAGAACAACAATGCATGTTATGGATTCGAATTTAGTCTTTAGTTTGTACAAACTTGTTCAGTCAGACCTATGATTAATACAGTTTATATATGTCGATGAATTCATACCTGGGGCTATGTAACCACGAGAACCGGCAACAACCGACATCGACTCGGATCCTTTATTTCCCAACTCGATAAACTTCGCAACACCAAAATCCGCAATTCTTGCACCATATTCCTCATCGAGCAAAATATTATTCGATTTAACATCACGATGAACAATAGGAGGAACACAATCATGATGCAAATATGAAAGTCCCTCAGCCGCATCAAGAACAATCTTAAATCTCATCGGCCATTCCAATAATCCACCTTTACTACTATGCAACAAATCTCCTAAGCTTCCATTTGGCATATATTCATACACCAAAAACCTCGAGTTTCCACTCTTGCAACAACACCATAATCTAACAATATTTTTATGCCGAATCTTCCCTAATGTTTCGACTTCACTCTCGAACTCGTCTTTTTGTGCTGAATCTGTTATAGTATTAGTTTTAATCGATCGTTCCCAGAGTTTTTTCACTGCCACCGCTTCACCGTTGCTGAGAATCGCTTTGTAGACTTTCCCAGAAGCGCCGCTTCCGATTACGTTATTTTCGTTTAATCGATGAATGATTTCGAATTCGTTAAAACCCAATTTGTGAAACGATCGCCATTTCGATATTGAAATTGGGGATTCATTCTTCGTGTTGTTGATGCTTCGATACTTGAAAATGAACCAGGATACGCCGATTACCAAAACTATGCCGGAAAATACGAAAATGAGCCGGAGCAGCCATAGATTATGATTTGTTTTTGATTGGTCGGTTTGGGGACAACGATGGGTGAATCCGCCGCATAAATCTGGGTTCCCCAAGAAGCTATCTCGGTAAACGTCTTTAGCGTATGCAGAAGGGATTGGTCCGGAGAGATGATTGTTTGATAAATTGAGTGAATTCAGCATCAAGTTATCTAATCCGGATGGGATGTTTCCGTTGAACGAATTACCGGAAAGATCGAGATAATTAAGAACTGGGAGGTCACCGATTTCGTCGGGGATTTCTCCGGTGAACCTATTGTTTGCTAAATTTAGCTCGTTGAGCTGTTTTAGTGATCCAATTTGTGTAGGAATCTGGCCGGAGAAATCGTTTCCACTAAGATCAAGTGTCCCCAGATGATTCAATTTGAAGAATGATTCTGGAATACCTCCGGTTAACTTATTATCACCAGCTATGAACTCAACCAAATTGCTTAAAGATCCTATTTCATCAGGTATGCCACCAGAGAAGGTGTTCCCGGAAACAATAATCGACGAAAGATTGACCCCACCGGAGATAGCGGATGAGAGGTTACCTGAGAACAAATTATCAGCAAGATCAAGGAGATAAACATGAGGCAACCCCCAAATTACGCCCGGAACTTCCCCGGAAAGTTTGTTCGAGCTCAGCCTAACCCTTCCTAAACTCTTGCATTCTCCCAGACTTACAGGAAGCTCACCGGAAAAGGAATTTCCGATCAGTACTAGATCAAATAATTCGCCCTTTTCGCATAAGCTACTCGGAAGTTCACCGAAGAGTTTATTGAACGACACGTCAAGTGTTTTCAGAGAGGAATTGCTTCCGAGATCATTGGGAAGAGGACCAGTTAACGAATTGTCGAATAATCTGAGATCATACAAGTTTGGAGATCGAGCTAAGCTTTCCGGTATCAGACCCTGTAGTTCATTATCAGCGAGACAGAGTGATTCGAGGGGCAATTTGCATAACTCAACCGGAATAGTTCCGGTGAAACTATTCACCGACAGATCGATTTTTCTCAGTTCGGGGAGGTTTGACCAATCCTTTTTTGGCAACTCGCCGGAAAGTGAGTTGTTATAGAGCTCGAGTTGGTAGAGTTTCCTGAGTTGGAAAATGACAGCTGGGAATGGACCAGCGAGTGAATTGTAAGATAATTCGAGATCAGAAAGCTTCTGTAATTTCGAAAATGTCTCCGGGATTGTTCCGACGAAGCTACATGAACTGAGCCAAAGATGTTCGATGTTGGAAAGGTTTCCGAGTTGAGGAGGAATTGGAGCAGGAAGAAAGTAATTGTAAGCAACACTGAGTTCTTTAAGCGAGGTTACGTTTGTGAGAATAACAGGGAATGATCCATTCAGATAGTTGTTGATGAGAATGAGTGATTCTAGTCGCCGGAACAATCCAAAACTACGTGGAATTTCGCCGGAGAAGCTGTTGTCTTGGAGGTTGAGATAAACCAAGTTTGGGATGTCGGAGAGCGTCGATGGAAGCAGACCATCGAAATAGTTTGCAGAGAGGTCAAGCGACGTGAGGTTGCGGCAGGCGGAGATGGTGGCGGGGATGGTGGAGTTGAGACTGTTGTCGCTGAGCGAGACGATAGATAAGGAAGGTAGACGGCAGAGACCGATGGGAAATGGGCCGGCGAGGGAGGCGGAGGGGAGTTCGATGGAAGTGACGGTGGAGCGGCTGCAGGTGACGCCAAACCAGTTGCATGGCGTGTCGTCGGCGGGGTTCCAGTCGGAGAGGATTCCACTGGGATCGATGAGAGTGGATTTTATTTTGATTAAATCAAGACCTTCTTGGTTCAAAGAGAGGGAGGTGGTGGTTGATAATAGCAAGAGACATAACAATAGAAGTGAAGGTGGCGACGGCGGTGGTCGCGACGGCAGGAGTGGCGGTGGCATCGTGGGAATGGAGGATTTGGCAAGGAGGTGTGAAAATTTGTGTATTGTTGTTTTTCAATGAAGGGAGGACTTTAGAGTAAACAAGTGCATAATTGATCGGGGAAAGACAACTACTAACAACCATCAAATTAGTTTATTAAATATAGTTTTAAATAGACAATTTAAAAATTAATATCTATATACAAAAAATATGTATATATTGAGCATATTGAATAATTTTTTAAAGTCCTGATGTTCATACACACTTATACTATTTTAATGTTGGCGAATAGTAAAGTATTGATATTTGTTAGTGTTAACATTTCCACAATTTGATATTTCAAATTTGAATGGTATTTTAACAGTAATATTTATCTTTTATAATACTATCATAATATTAATTTATAAGATATAACAAAGTAAATAAGAAATTTTACTTTGTAATTTGTTTGCCTTAAATATATATTTACACAAAATAGTTAAGTAAGTTAATTTGTTTTATGAATAATTATAATTATTTAATAATAAATTTTATAAAAATATTATAATAAGAGATATATAGATCAAAATTCCACAACAACAATTAAATATAAAAGTATCATTAAATAAGTTTGAAAAAGAGGCAAAGAACGAAACTAGAAGAATCTAATGAAACATGACCAAAATACGTTAGACTTTAATGAGTTAATCTTTATACCGTACATTAAAAAAAAAACAGAGAAAAAAAAAAATTTACATCACGTTTGAAACGAAAAACAAAAACAAACTTATGAAATTAATCTTTAAGACTGTAATCATTCAAATTATTATTATTATTTTTAATATTTAAAGTGGTCATCATCAATACCAAAGGTACAAACATCTAATGCATCATATGGTTTTCCAAATCTCAATCTTCCATTCTTCCTTATCGATTTCATAATAGGCATTTCAGTGACCATAAACACTTGATCGACGAGCATTAAATAAAAAAGGACAATTATGAATCCATAGTGTACAGATAAAATTTGCAAATAAAGGTATATACGAAGGACACCCTTTGATTCTCTACGGGTTTGTCTTTTTCCATTTCATTTCATTGGAGGAAAAGAGGGACATTGCAACTTAGTTCCCAACCAACAAATAACTGATGATTTCTTTCATTTATGACAAAAATTCTTCACCTCTTTTACCTGTTGTAGTTCTATGTGAATCTTGAAAAGAAAAGATAAAGAAGAGAAAAGAATCTACAAATGGACATGAGCGAAACACTAGGTGTAGAATTCGGGGGTTGAAACTAATCCTTTAACAAAAACTTAAAATAAAACTGCAAAAATGATCCTTTTTAATATTTATTTTTATATTTTATTAATTAAAAAACAAAAAAGAACTCATATATATATATATATATATATATATATATATATATATATATATATATATATATATATATATATATATATATTCTCTTTCTCTCTCTAAATAGTTAACACATTGCCACGTTTACAATCTCCATATTGAAGCAACCATATGTTTCTTGATGACATCCCGGAACAAAATCAATCTCCAGTGGTGATGGATGGCTATGACGAACTTAATCTTTACTTCTAAATTAAAAAATTTGGAAATAAAAAACAAGCAGATCTGCAGATACCTGATCAGTGCTTGTACCGCTCATCATCTTGTATGAGGGTGTTTGACATTACTTCTAAAATAACTTTTAAACTTTTAACTTTTTTAAAATGTCAAAAATATCTAAAAGATGTTTAGTAAGTATAAAAATTCTTATTAAAACACCTTTTGCCAAGAACAAAAAAATAGTTTTCCAAAAGTCATGAAATCATGTCTTTTGTGACTTTTAATTTTTGTCGCTTAAAAACTTTAAAAATCAAATCAAACACATTTTAAAACCTTTTTTTAGAAAAAAAAAATTCTTGTATAAAAAGTCCTTTTGTAAAAAAGACTTTTAGTTTCAAAAATTTAATCTCAAACACACCCTACAATGACGGTTGCAATGGCTTCCGATTCAACACTTTTAGAAGCGATAAACATCGCCGCCCATTACCTCGCCACAACCATCACCACCATCAAAAATCAAACAACTGCGTCTTATTCTACTAAACCCTAAGCCATAATTGAACCTGATATCAAAATCGAACTCAGAAACAAAAGTTCAAGCTAACTAGAATCAAATTTTGATATCAAATCTGTTGAAATTGTGAGAAAAACCGACATAGATGATAAGGATTTTTTATCTACTCAGCCCCATTTCCTTATATTCCTTGTGAATGGTGTGAACAAATCGATGGTTTCAATCCAAAAATTAAAAAATTAAAACTACATCAAAATCTAAAACCTTGATAGCTGCATCTCTTTTTCTACTAGACAATCTCCTGCCCATCAAACCCTAACTATGCGCGAGTTTTTTTTTTCCCGAAGAGAGGGTCATAGATGCAACACATGATGGTTGAACCGATGGCTGGAAAAAATTGATGGATGGTAGTTGTCACATACAATAATATAACCATCATTGTTTACATAAGAATGTGTTGGATTACAAATTACATTCCAAATAAATAAGTGTATGATGATAACAAAAATACAACAAAATCCATGTGTTCTTGGTAACCAACCTGCTTAACAATTTTTTGAGAATACAAATTATTTTGAAAACATCAACATATATAATGTTTGTGCGTTCATAAGCAAGTTTGTATGAAAGTTTTGTATCACTTTGTAAATGCCAGAAAAAATTGATATTTTTTGTAAAAATTGTTTGGAAGCTTTGTGTTAAATCTTGTAGTAAAGTACGTGTGTTTCTGTTTTGAAAATATATAAAGAGAGTATTCCAGAAAATCCTATATTTTCTGTTGTAATTAGAAGGTAATGTATAATGTAAGTTTCCCAGAAAATATGATATTTTCTGCTTGTAAAACTGTTGTGGTCTTAAAACTCTAAGAACGTAAAATGGTGTTTGTATAGTTTTGTAACTGCAGAAATGTATATGTATTCCATAAATTTTACAGTGGGGTTAATCTCTATATGAGTCGTTAAAACCATGCTTGATACGACGGATTTGCCTGTCATGACGTTTTATGAAAGTCCCTCACTTTCATAATACTAAAACAATTTGTTACTCCCAAAACATGCTAAATGCATATTCACAAATAATATTTTACATTAATAATTTATTTACAAACGACTGAATACAAACCGACTAAGTTTAAGTTATTACAAAACTACCTAGGATATTGTATATTTTATACATACTAAAACTTAAATACAAAAGTAATAGTATAGACTATTTTAATTCTTCCAACAGTATAAAGCTATACTGGATGGTTATTGCGTGCAATATATTAAAACATTGAGAGGATAAGCGGTGACGCTTAGTGAGTTCAATAATAGATACAGTATGGCAGAAGCAAAGAGGAACAAGGAACAACAAAGGCACATGTGAATCATGTGACAAACTTTTCATATCAATCAATGACTTGATTCAAAGATATACAATCAATGAGAGATAACAATTTCCAAACTTGATATACATCAATAAAGCTTCAGCCCAAATGGCACATAAGATATACAATTTTTAATTAACATTTTGGTAGATTTCAGGTTTATAGCCCTGTCTAACCATTTGTCAATACCATATAATAGAAGTCATTATCTTAGGGAAACATGCACTACATGGTCAGAGACTACATACCAGTACCACCGTGAATCTAAGTCCTTTCACAGATCACATAGTCAAAGGTATAACTTTGCTATTATAAATAGCAGAAATAAAATAACACGGAAAAATAACCTGGAATAATAACACTGAAAAACACATAGCACATAACATACAATTGTTCATATATATTGAAACTCACTTTGAAATAACTGGGGGTTAAAATAGTAATTTGTGCAGATTTCATTCCTATAAATAGCTTTCTTCTATAAAAACCGGGAGCTTTCTTGAAAACCGGGCTCTGTGAAGGTAAAGCTTCAAATCGAAAAGATAAATTTCTCGAGGTTTCTCGGGCACTTCGGGGTGTGTTTCGGGTGCTAAAATTGATATCGGGGCTTCGGGGAATGTCAAAATAGCTAAAATATTGATTTAGGGGTCAAAATTGGCAATTTTCCAAAATTACTCGGGAAGGCTCGTAGCCATCTATTTATAGGAGGGGAGATGCGAGGTTCGGCCGAAGGAAGGGAGAGTCACCATACACGCGGCAACGAGGGAGCAAATCACGAAGCGACGTCGGATGCGAGACACGGAAGCGAGCTTAGACGCGAGACACCTGGTGCGAGGTGCGTCGGATGCGCATTGGACCGTTGTTCGGACGAATCGGATGGCGACGCGTCATCGGCTGGGTCTTCGGCTCGGATACGTGGTGTACATGACTCACCGAAATCGGCCTTATCCTTGCAAGATTCCTCGGATATTGAGCCCAAATCTTCTAAAATCCATAACTTTCGCATACGGGCTCCGTTTTGATGTTCTTTATATGCACGCGTAGGTAAAATTATGCTCTACAACTTTCGTTTAGACTTTATCGACTAATTTTGACTTTAATTTTAATATTATTATTTTTAACAGACCGAGACAAAAAAATCCGTTAAAAATTCATAACTTCTTCATCCGACGTCCGTTTTGTCAGACTTTTTACTGTTGTACTACTATTGACGAGACCTTCGATTCTCGTTTAGGTTGTGTCGGCTAAATATCGCTTGATCTTTATTTTGAGTTTTTAACTGTCTACTACTATTCCGAGACCTAGAAAAATCATAACTTATTCATACGAAGTCGACTTTAAAAGTTCTTTATATGAAAGTTTATTATTTTAACGAGTTCTACAACTTTCATTTAAATCACTAAGGCTAAAAAGTAGTTTACCGGAAACTCACTTTTTACGCGGCATAGTGTTTGCCGGTTTTATCGCGGATCTTCGATTGGTCATGACTTCTTCGTTATAACTTGGATTTCAACGAGGTTTTCGCCTAAACTTTTATAACAAGATTCTTTACAACTTTAAATAATAAAATTGTACTTATTTCAAATTTTATATGTTTGCTAAATTTCACTATAGTTTTACTTCATTTATAGTAAAAACCATCTGTTAGAACTCAACATTCAAATTCACATAATATTTCGTAATTTTATTCAC